ACAAAAAAATACACGTAGCTCGCAGCGATTTTGGTTTAGTTTTTGTTATAAACTCTGAAAAGCTGAAAAATTTTGTTTATTAGAATACGAGAAAATCATCTTAAGAATATAATGAAACGGACATGCTTGTAATTAAAAATTCTTTCTGAATCCAAATATGTTAATGAGCCAGGTTTACCTAATTCCCACCAGTTGGCGAGATGTGGACGTGGTCTTCATTCCAAAGCCAGTTCCAAAGGCTGGTAGGCGCCTAAATCATTCAGACCAATTAGCCTAACCTCATTCCTCCGGAAAACCATGGAGAAAATTATTGATCTACACAAGAGTGAATTCCTAATGGACAGCTCGCTCCAAAAGAATCAATTTGCCTATCATCCAGGTAAATCAACTGAGAAGCTCTACACAGTCTTGTCACTAAAATTGAAAGGGCACACTCAAGTCAAGAAACCGCTCTATGCGTATTCATTGATATAGAAGGAGCGGGAATCCATGAGAAGAGTTGCTAGAAATAAGGGGGTTTGACGAAACTATAATTGCATGAATTGAAGCCATGCTCGAGAGGGGTGTACTGTCCCCACTGCTGTGGTCACTTGTAGATGATGCACTTCTCATCGCGCTAAGCGCCCAAGGGATCACAGTTCTACGATATGATGACGACCTCACAGTCATCATTAGGGGTAAGCATGACATGATCATTAGTGGTAAAATGTCGTTATTAGATGGTGTCCACAGGAGGGTTTAAGCGTCATCTAAATCGAACAACCCCAATGTCAAATGGGATATAAATCAATTTCGCAAGTGAGATTAAATATCTGGGAGTCATCTTGGATCATAAACTTACTTCGAACCGACATCTTAGAAGAGTCACCGACCGGGCAATAGCCATATACTGGAAATGCCGGAGATTATTCAGCAAGACTTGGGGTCTAATGCCAAAACTGATCTATTGGTTATTTTCAATGGTTATAAGACGCATGGTTACTGCTGCAATAGTATGGTGACCAAAAGTAAAATAAAAGACAGCGCAAAACCGATTGGCAACTGTACAAAGGCGTGCATGTCTTAGAATTTCAAGAGCAATGGTCTCCAATGGCTGTCCAACTGCCGCAATGGAGGTCATGTTGGGCCTCCCCCTACTAAATTTAATAGTGAGGAAAGAATCCTACATGGGAGCTTCAAGAATAATATAGTCCCTAAAAGTAAAGGAAGGCACTTTGTCAGCCACATGAGCATTGTAAATGTGAAAACAAAACAAGTTGATCACATGCAACACAGGTACGAATTCGAACACTCCTTCAAAGTGACTATTGAGGGCAGCAAAAGAGAAAATATCGTACCTGTACTTCCGAACGGATCATCTGTCTGGTAGAAAGACGGATCGAAAGCAGAGCTAGGGACTGGAGCAGGAATATACGGTCAACTTTGTAGACTATCAATAGTTCTAGGAGAAAGCCCAACCATATTTAAACGGAAAAATTCGCGCTAGAGGGTGTCCCGAAAGAGACCTCCGAAAAGCGAAGATCTATATCAATTGCAACAGTCAGACAGCACTAAGAACTCTGAGTTGCTCTGTCACTAAGTCCATACTGGTATAGAACTGTCAAAAACAGCTAGAGTCGCCCTGGCAATGGTACCAGGGCACCAATTAGTTGAGGAGAATGAAATAGCGGACCAACTTGCAAGACAAAGAACTGCAACACCAATCTTTTGACCAGAACCTTTGTTTGGCATTATGAAAAGTCATTTAATAAAGGAATTCCAGAATTGGGTAAAGCCTTCCTGGAACGCGCTTCCAGGACTTAGAAGGCGAAATAATTCATCTCACCCCAGTCAATAAATGCAAAGGAAATGATTGACCTTAATAAAGCAGATCTAAGGCTGATTACAAAGATAGGCAAAACAGAATCAGACCTATGCCGCTTCTGAGTCTGAGGAACACATACCTTGCAACTGCGCAGAAAGCCTATCCATACTAAAGGCATTGCCCACTAGATATAAGGGGAAACTTACAAATCCTCAAATTTCGACTCAAAGTTTTTTGTGTTTGTCTCGAGTGAGCTAGTGATGGTTTTATATCGGGTCTTCAAAAAAAAAAAAAACAATCAAAGATTGCTATGTTATTTCAAACGTATCTCTTAGTGTGACAAAACTGAGATGTTATGTATTGATATTTTGGTAGCGTGAATAATTCTGTCATATCTTAAAATTTCGTGGTAAATTATGCTGAAAAGTAAATTTGATCTGAAGCAGTAAATAACAGTTTTCTGAACCGGAGGCAATCTGAACGAAGTCTGCTTTATTCTCTCCTTGGAGTGGTTATTGAAAGGTGTTAATAGAGATTGAAAATTAGAACCACTTACTGCTGGAGCTGGAAACACCTTCTTTAACCGCACAAACCAGCACGTAAGATCTTTCTACACCACCACCAGTGTTTTAATGGGAATTTTAAAACCAAAAAAGAAAAGACTAATTTTGAAAGATTGAAATTAATTTATTTCAGAGCGAAAAGAAAAGTTAATTATTTGAAGATAAAAAAAAGGTAAGGTAAAATATTTAAAAAAAAACTAAAATACCTTATCTAATTAATAGATCATCAACAATTTTTAACTGAAGAAAAATTAAAGACAATTGAAAGAAAACAGAATAATTTCTCAATTAAAAGATTTAGTTCAAAATCTGAGACTTTATTGGAAATTGAAATTAAAAAAATAACTATCACCTCTTTGAAGAGCTTTTACTAAAACACCGGGCGGCAGATGAACTAGCGGATGAGGAACGGATCCAGAACTCGTTGAGACTTTGCGACTTAATTTTCCGGCGATTACTCGTGGTAAAATCCAGTGGCGAATTGGCGATAACTGAAGTTATGTGGCCTCTACATCTGCTGAAATAAGCGAAAGGAACCACCCTCTGGGTACCACTTTGGAAGCCCATTGGCTCCTCTCAGTACCGGGCTTGCGAGATTCGAGGATCTCCACCCTCTTAGCTTTCAGCGATTTGCTGAAAGTACCCTTTGGTTTCTTGCCGTGTTTCCATTGGTTCTCAAGTTTCTCCAACCTTCCCCATCCAATGTGCTCGACCCTGTGATCCAGTTTGATGGCTCTCCAACAGAGTTCGCTACTTACATGTTGTCAAATTATTAATTGAACATTTACTGTTTTCCCTTTTAATTGAAAATCTTTGCCTTTTCTAATTACCTAATGTATAAAATAAAGGTTCCCTAATTTCTGTCCTAATTAAATGTATAAAATAAAAGTTCCCTAAATTCGAACCTAATTATCAAGGGTGTAAAATGATCTAAACTCTCTAATGAACTAAAATCTTCACTAATATAATAATAAAATAATTGAGTAATCACTCCTATCTTGATCTACCTATATCTTAATTATAACTAAGCATTTGACTATAGTAACAACCCTTGATAATTATATTATTATTATACAATTGGTTATTGCATCTTAAAAATCCAGCTCATGTAATTATTGTTCCGCTACACACACATATGCTTCGAATATAATATATAATTCTTTGCAATGCTATCGGTTACCTGACATCTGGGTTCGTTTGTTCGTTATGAAACGTGGGTCAGAGATTATTCTTGACTTTGAATAAATTATTACAACCACATGGGTCTGGTTCAGTCGAGAGATTAGTTTAAAGTTTAGTGTTTATCTCGGAAAACATAAATTTTGCCTATATGTTTGTCAATTTTGGATTACAGTAATAATAATCTTGAAGCTATAAAATTCGATACTTTTCTGGCTCAAGTGCTTTTTACCCTCGAACAGATTAGGCCTTCCGCAGAACTCCATGTAAATTTCATCATAGGGTCACATTTTAGCTATCTATAAAAATAAAACTTTTCCCACGAATAATGAATTTGAACCGAGAATATAAATTTGTTATTGATATTGTCACATTCGCAATATTTTTCTTTAATTTTGTCAATGAACTTTATTGTCAAAATGTCATGTCAAAAATCTTGACCAATAAAAAAACAACAACGTACGTTTTCGTAATCAAAGCATTCTTTGATTGTTTTTTTTTTTTTTTGATACCCGATATAAACGTACTAGTGAAATCCGGCCAATCTCAGCGAACGACTTTGGTTTGATTTGGTGATCCTCTGAAATCCTTTTTCCAGTCCATATATCAGTTCCTTATCGGTGTCGGTAATTGAAATTTTCTACTGTTATTACTTATATTGAAATTGATGATTTAAACTGCCTTTCAACAACTCACCTTTCCGTAAAGTTAGTTACGAAGATTTCTGACTTGTCGCAGTTCGTCGGTTTTAGAAGGATTGAAACTTTGAGAAAAGTTCGAACCTAACTTGTCAACTCTATTTTACGTCAATTAAAATGTAATAAAATAAGTCACAAACGTGGGTAACAAAATTTCAAACAAAATATAAGTTGAACACAAAAATGGTATTTTGGCAATTTTTTGTAGAATCCATCCAACCTAAAATTAATTTTAGATATTTCAGCATCAAAAATTTATTTTGTAAATTAAAAAACTCGTCGTCTTGTTTGCTTAATTATAAAAGAAATTAACGCAGAGTAGATTTCATTTCATCTACTCTTTAAACTTTTCATTTGGTAAGCTATTTAAAAGGAAACTTCTAATTACAAAATACCTAAGCATTTATTTATAAAAGGGAAAAAATTCGGTCTGATACTGGCAAACATCAAATCGGATCTACTATTTACGATTTATCATTCAAAAAAAATAATTTCTTTCTGGAGTATAAAACGATTTCTGTCACTACTTAGTAATTTCGATCACAGGGAATCACAAAAAGCCAAATACGAACTTTGGATCTTCCAGACAGCAGAAAAAAAAGCTTGACAGGTCGATATCATTGAAAATTGATATTTTTTGTAGTTTTTGAAAAGCTCTTGGTTTTGGAGCTCTAAAAGTGCAAAATTTAATATAAAAAAAATATATATATAGGCCAAATGCTTCTAACAGGTGCTTATTGTTTCTTTCAATTTCAGATAGCAATTTTGTATTGGGAAACGCACAAGTGCCGTCCATTTATCCAATTGTTTACTGTTCCGATGGATTTTGCGAGCTCACTGGATTCACTAGGGCGCAAATTATGCAGAAAGCCTGCTCCTGCAAATTTCTGCACGGACCGGAAACGAAAGACGAACACAAAACTCAGATTGATAAGGCGCTGGAATCCAAGAACGAACTCAAACTGGAAGTTATATTCTATAAAAAGAACGGTAAGTCCTATTCAACGAAACATTTCAAGTTTTTTCTTTTGTCACCTTCCGCATCACAAAAAGATAAGCTTTCGACAATTGTTACTATTTCTAACAGTAAATAAAGTTCACAAACTTACTTTTAGTATCAATATGAAGGGAAGTTGAATGTATAAAGTAATAAACAAAGAACAAAGGAAAAGTTCACTAGTTATTTTCCAACTAATAATATAATTATATAATATGACTTAAACTTAATTTGTAATCAGACATAGCTGCATTTGCGTTTCCGTTTTATAAATAAGATTTTCTCCCAGTTCTACTTTCAATTCTGAAATGGAATATTATCGATAATATTATATAAGAAAACATTTTAGAACTAAATTGAGGGTGTTTAATAATTAAACACTTTTGATAATTCAATTTAGGCCAAAAGGATTTGCCAAAAATATAACATAATAAATTATTAATTGAAATCCTTTGTTCATACTTTATAAGGGTAATTAAAAGATTACAAGCTTAAAGGATAATAGGAACTTAGGGTTTAAATACTTAACAGTTTGTTTGAAGTTTTATAAGTTTAACAAAAATCTTGGAGACTTGTTCTTTCAAAAAGAAACATTTTTCTTGCTTCGGAATATTATTTTATTGTAGAGTTCACTTTGCTGAACATTGTTTAAAATTAAATTATGTTGTAGGCCATGACGGCATTCAATGATGTAGCTTTTTTTTCATACATTTACGCAACTATCTACAGTTTCTACATACAATCTAATGACGCCCTTTTCAAATTGTACCAACACCAAGGACCTCCTCAAGCCAAGAACATCTGAGCATTGTTAGGCATTGATAGATTTTGATGGTTGGGGTGTTCAGGTTATGGACCTCTCCGCATTTTGATTTAAAAAAATAAGCCTTTGCATCAGAGCATTTTTTTTACGAGTTGATTTGGGTTGGGTCATTTTGTCAGATATTGAAGACTTTTTTCTGCTCTGTGATGTTTTGAATTTCTTTATTGTTTTCATCTAACCAATCCTGAGGTATTTTTGTAATAAAGCTCGTCGATTCTTGATAATTATTGTCTTTGTTTTTCATCAACGGTTTCTTTGTACATCTTTTTCCATCTAACAACAAATTCGCGAACACCCATACAACAAGTTCTATCCCAAAAATAGCGAAAGCTCTAAACGGTCCTTTCGGTCGAGGCAATAAAGTTTATTACAAATAACTTTGCCAAGGCGAAATATTTACGAGCTGCTCGGTTGTGTCGGACTAAACTCTATCCCCACAATGCCCTTTTAGTTTACAAAGGGCTACCATAGGATGTACGCACACCTAATTGTTTTGGAAATAAATTATTTATGTATATTCTGTGTTATAGTTTATAATGTAAATACTGTGGCGCTTTCGTCAGCATTCATAGAATCAAATCTGAAATCTAGAATTTAGTGCCTTTTTCAAGAAAAGAGATTATCGCGTTTATTTTGGATAACAAGAATGGAATTCGTATATATACAGGGTGTATCAGGTATGAATACAAATATTTTAACATGAGATAATATGGCCCATCTCAAGCTAAAAGTGTCCTATTGACCATGGGTCAATTGTTGGTATTTACGGAGTTATCGCAGAATTTAAATTTGGAAAAATGTCAACAACGTGACAACATTGTTCAGGTATTTATCTCTGCCACGATATAAATGTAAGTAAAACTGGTAAATTTGAAACTTTTTTTTTGCACGGCGTTTATTTATTTCCATCTGTTTACGTTTTGGTTTGTTATTGGCTTTCAAATAATGTAAATAACAACGTGCATTTTTATCACTTTTCTAGTAAAAATAAAAAATGTGCCATTTTATTAAGTTGTGAATTGCATTGAATGACATTTTTGCACTAAACATTCAAGAGAAAAATCAAATAATACTTACTCAGCTACTTTCATAATAAGGATTCGAATCCTTATTATGAAAATATTAATTTTTGTTAAAAGGTGCTCAAAACACTAAAATCAACACGCAGATTTTGCACGCTCACAACTCACACTTCTTGTATTACGCAATCTTTGTAAAACGGGCACAATGTTCTTCCATCAGGCGAGTGCTTTTCTTTTGGAAAATCTTTCCCTACTTTCACTGTGAATTCTGGTGGCTGAATGAGCATTTTGCAACGATTCTGTCTAAACAAGTATCTGCATATTCGATGTTTCTAAACATTTTATTTTCAAAAAAGAATGAATTTGAATTACGCATGTTTCCCAACTAGAAAAGACAAATCAAGAATCAATTTATTCAGCTTTACCAAGGTTCAACCTTCAACCACCTTTTCTTTATTGTGCTGTGTTGCCAGATGTTTAGATACCCTTTTACAAGTGAAATTTGTATGTTGTTTTTCCAATTTTTTGTTATTGTTGTTGACTAAAAATGCATAATTACTTAATAATTGGATAAACTAAATTTTTCTACATCTCATAATGATTAAAATTTTGTTTAACTTTAAAATATTCGTCAAAAAATCTTAAAACTTCAAACGCCTTTTTCTTCAAAATGGTTGAGTTTGGACCCCATGTTGTATAAACTTTTTTTGTTCAAAATGGGCCATATTTTCATGTGTTAAAATTTTTGTAGTCAAACCTGATACACCCTGTAGAGGCCGGTATTAGTAGTTTAGTTGAGTTTAGGATTTGCTATGATACGTTTTAGATGGTGATTCTTGTAAGAGCTGTTGAGAGTTAGGTTTTTTGAGTTAATTAGGAAAGTAATTAGTGTCAGAGTGTGTAGTAACGTGGAATAAATTATTGTTGTGGTAATTGGACTTCGATTTTGGAATAAAAGATTTCTGTCACGCACACCAGAGCCGTGACATTGGCGTCAGAACTTGATATAATTCAAGGACTGCAAAGTGAAATACGATTGCAGAACAGTGGGGACACTAGTGTAGTGTGGACACTAAGTAAAAACTGGGACAGTTAGTCAGTGCAAGCAGTGACAATCACTAAACGAGACTTAATCGATTGTGTAAATTACCCCCAAAGTGACTGTATACCCAATTTTGACTGTGATAGTGAATTTCAAAGTGAGTTCTAGAAAATTCTATTTGGAAACCAAGGGAGATATCGAATTTGTGACTTCACCGACGTATTCGAAATATCAATCGTCATTCAGAAAACGAATTCAGAGATTCCAAGATCCAGGAAAATCTGAGAATGTCTAATTTCAGAAAAAGTAGCGAGGCCTTTGTCCGAGCATTGGAACTGGAAGCTATCTTTGGTGCCTCACGACTCAGAATACGAGCAGTGTCTATTGAAGGCCCAATGGATAAACAATCGTCAAAAGAAGATGGTAGCTTCGGGAATGTTATGAGTAAGTTTATGGAGAAACTAGTACTAGAAGTTAGACAAATGAGAAACGACTCCAAGCAAACACTAACACCGAGAAACTCATTAAAATGTTACCGGTGCCATAAGCTTGGACATATGCAATGGGATTGTAGACTAAAGATGTCTTTTCCATCTAGGGATCGTTCCCAGCGCTTTTGGAAATTTAGAGACGCCAGCCCTGAACATCGACCTAGAAATTTGCATGAAAATGCTGACGCTCTGTCTAGACGGCCATGCAAAGAAGACTGCAAGCATCATTAAAAAATCGATATGCCTGAGAAAAACACTGATTAGCTGTGAGAATAACGGGTCTTATCGTTGATGATAAATGGACTACCAAACAAATAAAAGAAGATCAAGAGGTAGACAAGCACATCGGGCAAATTCTACATCTTAAAGAAAATGATGAAGGTAGGCCAGAATGGGGAGAAGTGTCGAACAAGAGCTGGATTCACAAGGCGTTGTGGGCTTAGTGGAACTCTCTGGTCGTAGAAAATGGTTTGCTCAAAAGGGTCTGTGAAAGTGCCGATGGGAAAAGTATTAAGCATGAAGACGTTAAAAACTGGTGCTGAAAATTCGACATCTGTGCTACCAGCAAAGGCCCTAAACTAAGATCTTAGGGGCCCATGAAACAGTACAACGTCGGTCTCCCATTTGGAAGAATAGCAATAGATGTAGCCGGACCATTCCCTGAGTCAGAGCGTGGTAACAAATACATCTTGGTTATCATGGATTACTTCAGTAAATGGCCAGAAGGTTTTGCTATTCCCAATCAAGAAGCCATCACTATTGCTTGGGTGCTAGTGGACGAAGTTTTTAGTCGTCATGGCGGGCCACCAAAGTTACATTCATTTCAAGGACGAAACTTCGAATCTGCCATCTTTAAGAAGATTTTTGAGATTATGGGAATTCGTAAGACAAGGACAACACCTTTACATCCACAGTCTGATGGCATGGTAGAACGGTTTAATAAGTCCATAGAACAACACCTGACAAAAGTGATCACAAAGAACCAACGAGATTGGGGCAAACATTTGCCTCCATTTTTAATGGCTTACAGAGCAGCTGTTCACGAGTCAATAGGTGAAAGTCTAGCCAGAATCGTTTTTGGAAGGGAACTCAGGTTACCTTGCGATCTGATGTTTGGAATACCTGAAGAAGGACGGATAAAAAATCGAGATTATGCCGACGAAGTAAAAGCACGACTTCTGGGGATACATGATCTAGCTCGGCAGCATATTCAGCTGGCCAGTGACCGAATGAAGACCAGATACTTGAAAGCCAATTCAGCCGGATTTCAAGAAGGTGATTTAGCGTGGCTATATAATCCAGTAAGAAAGAAAAGAGTGTCGCCGAAATTGTTTTCAGCATGGAAAGGATCCTATAGAATAATCAAGACGATCAATGATTTGGTTTATCGAGTTCAGCGCAACACCAGGAGTAAGATGAAAGTTGTACATCTAGACAGATTGACGAAATATCATGAGCGCGAAATTGATCGAGACGATCAACCTTAAGAGGGGGACAGTGTGGAGCTTTCGCCAGCATGCACAGAATCAAATCTGAAATCTAGAATTTATTGTCTTTTTCAGAAAAAGAGATTATCGCGTTTATTCTGGATTTAACAAGAATGGAATACGGATATATAAAGGCCGGTATTAGTTAGTACTTTAGTTAAGTTTAAGATTAGCTGTGATACGTTTCAGATAGTGATTCTTGTAAGAATTGTAAAGAGTTAAGTTGTTTGAGTTAATTAGTGAAGTAGTCAGTGTCAGAGTGCGTTGTAACGTGGAATAAATTATTGTTATGGTAATTGGACTTTGATTTTGGAATAAACGAACTCCAGATTTCTGTCAAACACGCCAGAGCCGTGACAATGCGTACTCAATCCTAAGATCAATTATTAGTTTATGATGATGACAATGAGAAAAGATCCCATAACCAAATCAAACAAACATGTCGATTATTGATGTTATTTTACCCGTCAAGATAGTAATACCGTGTTTACTTCATTAAGCATTGATTGGCGTCAAGGGACGAACGGGTAGGCTTTGGTGTACATACATAATTCAGACACCCCTAATTCCTTGATACGATATATAGCTTATCTATTATTAGATTTAATTAGCTATTGCGTTCTAGAGTAGGTATAGGTACGCCAGCAGGATATAAACGATTAATTTTGCAAAGTTCAAATTTCCCTTCGCCAGAGACAATAATGTAATCTGGACATAAAAAACTTTAATTAAATCCTTTCAATTTAAGGTTAGCCCGTTTTTGACAAACTGGGGTAAGGCAGTCGGAAAGACTACAAATACCAAAACAAAAAGCAGGTTTCCGTTGCTTCGAAGTACGGACGTTAAAGTAAATTACTTCTCATGACATAGCAGATTCTGTTTTGTACTTTTATTCTTAGTAGCAAGTGAAACCTGTCTAGAAACTTTCTTAGATACATTTTATTCAAGGAATTTTTTTTCTAACAAATTAATTTATCAAGTTTACCTGGAAACATTTTTATTTTAATCAGGCACGTGCACTTTTTGTTCAATAAAGTTTATGAGGGCGACTCCAATTATGATAAATCTGGCTTCTTAAAATATTCTTTTAAAGCTCAACTAAAATTTGCTATTAATTAATTATTATTACAACGGATTATGATACAACACTCCACTGAACATGACTGGCTGTTCTTTATTAAAACGTCTATACAATTACTGCTCTGATGCTAAAGATTTGTAAGATTTGAATTCAAGATTGCCTTAAGAAATGAACTTTAACTTTCAAAAAGTTCTTCAACCAAGACAGGACAATTTGTTAAGGCAATAACAACAAGATTTCCAAATATAAAGTTTCATACTAGTCATTTCAGGGAGTGATTAAATAGGAAGCAGAAAATCGAATTACCGGCAATTCCGGTAGTAGATTAGATTAAATTAGATTTGTTTGAATGGAGATTGCTCAGACTCCAGGGCCATTGGCCTTTCGTTATCCTAACAATCTTGCGGCTGTGGCTTAGTATGTCCGCTGTGAACTTGGGCGAGCAGGATTTGATGAACTGCTTTGCCTGTCGTTGTTCTGGTGTTTGCTGCCACCAGCTCTGGAATTTTTTGTCTATCATTGGTCTTATTACCATTTTGTATCGGCACTAAGTATGGGGTTTTTGAATGAACTCCAATAAATAGACATTTAGTCATGACTAAGGGAATAAAAGAAACATTCTTCAACAGAACTATAACCTCACTTTCTGAAAAAAGTTATTTACGAGGTTTTGAAGTCTACACTCCGAAAAATGTTATCGGCATTATCTACGTGTAAATGTTTGTCTGTGTCATCTCTAACGAAGTCGTGGGTTGCTCTAAAAAATTGTAAATCAGTCACAAACCTGTACCTATACCTATATTTATCATAAGTCGATAGCGATTGTTATGGGATTTCGATTGACTTCTGACAGCGACGGAAACAAAAAGCTATGGAAAATATTCGCAATAAAAAACTACCAGATCAGCTATAATTATAGCTAATTGTGTGCGAAGCCGACTTTTTTCAGTAATCAGAGTAGGTGGAGCGGAAACAAATAAAACCATCGAAGCTTTACTGAATGACGTTGGTTTGCAATACAATACAATTGCTTGACGTATCTCTGAAACGATTTTCCGTCCATAGTTTTACGAACAGAAAATGATTTTTTTCCGATAACAGTCTCGAAGCTGAAGATGACAATTTTTCAAGATTGTTTTCATTACTTTAATTAATTAACTTGCCACGGTCATTTGTTACCTCCATCAACGTGAGCTCCTTGTATTAACGAAATATTTTGAAGCACATTTTAACAGGAGAGAAAATTTGAATACGAATTGTTCTGCCTGTCTCCTAGCTCATGAGCACTACGTTTACGGCACAAACAATCATAACTTTAAGTAAAATATGTATCGTCAACAGCACCAACACGCATTAATATCTCCCTTTGAAGAGGTTTTATTTAAACTTTAGTAGGTATGTAGGTAGTAATTTTTAACTTAGTGGAAAATTTGAACTGATTTTTTTTTTGTTTCATCAACGCTAACCAAGAAAAAAATATTTTCATATTGCAGTCACGAAACTAAAAAGATATTGGAGTTGAATTTATTTAGCAGTTTCCTACATGTAAAAATATAAAATTGGGGTTTTATAACCAAATCCCATTTTCCATCGCGTTATGCCGATTTTAAACAAAAAACAAGCAATATTTCCATTAAAGCACAAATTGCATAGGTGGGAATAAACTCAATTTCCCAAACATATTTTCCAAGCAACATTGTCTGAAAACACTTTTTTAATATAGTTTTAAACGGATTTTTTACTCTCGTAGTGTTTTATTGTTACAAAGGCCTTTCAAACAGGGAGTCCTATCGAAAAATTACACTCTCGTTCATATTTTGTGATATAATAAAATTGTATTTCCGAAAAACCTTGTTTGTCCGTGCTAATTGAAACTGTAATTTAAATTTGTTTCTCTTTAATGTTGATAATTCCATATAAACTTCTTTCTGAACTATTAGAACAAATGAATAAAAATAAAGAAGCTTATATTAAAATTTAGTTGACCTAACATTCCATTATTATTATTATATCCCTGTTACACAACTTTTAGTCTGGTATATCGAAATAGAAATAATGAAATAAATAAAGCCTGAGCGCAGATAAAAAGGTGATACAGAACCGCTTCTGATGGTAATGAGACTCTAAAAAAGGTTTTATTCGGGAGCTATCCGGATAACCTCAAAAATAGGGCCCCATCCAATTTAACCTAATTCACTGTATTTCTAGAATTCAGAGATTCGGTAAATGTGCTGAATACAAAGCTTGCAAAAATTTACAGTTTATTTTAAAAATGGATTTTGTTGTTTATGCAAAATTTCTATAGATAAACCAACTTTAGCTAGTTTAGTTGAAAAGATGCATATACTGGAAAAATTGAATAGACTCGAGTTTTTATAGTTAATACCTAATAATCCGAGCTTGAAGTTTGTTAAATTTTTCCCATTTAGAAAATCTTTCGAAGATTTATTTTGTGGGTCCGGGTCTTTGCCAAGCCAAAGCTTTTAATCTCGTTAAATCGTTAATTTTAATATTCCAGATTAATTTGGAGTTGTTTGACCATACTAGTTTCTCAACTTGTATGTTCTTATTGTTTTCTTAAGTTGTTCGCTTTTTACTTGTCTTTTACATTTGTCTGTGAATTCTTGCTGTGTCTGTAATGTGCAACCTCAAATATGATTCCTCACTTTGCTATATTTCTCCTATTTGGACTTTTGCCTCAATGTCATATTGGTAATCTGCAGAATTTCGTTTGGGGCTCCATTTATTGTTTGTTTTTTTTTTAACATCTATCCTTTCTTAAATCTAATGTCTGGCCAGTGTATCTGAAACTACGGAAGGAATTCGGACGTAAATGTCCAATGTTGCCACGTTTAATTATAATAAATGGGAAAATACTAGACATGAAGTATATTTCATTTGAAAATACATTTTTTAATAACAAGAAAACGCAAAATAATTTAACGTGGTTGTTAGATCTAAAGATAACATAAGCTTTTGTCAATTTGGCGAACATCCGAAATGGATGAATCTGATTGGTGGAGTTATTAGCACGATTGCCGTTGCCATGAGAAACCATGCGGTTGCCATGGGACTTACATCTCGCTATTGGCCAGGGCTCTCGTAATTTTATCCTCTCTATCTCCTCTTGAAATATCGACTTATATTGAAATATCCAGTGGCGGTGGTTTGGTAATTGTTGATTTTCGTGTACGAGTTGCAATACGATATCAAAAAGTTACGCACGCAGCTGGGTATGGATGAAACCAGCTTTTTTTTACAACTGTATTCCCCTCACCGATACCCCATAGCCTCAGAATCATTGGTCAATCAATATCTCCATCAATTCTGATCAAATATGGATGAATCACTTCTGCCAAGCTCAATGGATTTGATTATATCATACGAATACGTTCTCATCTGTTGCAAAAGGATATTTAAGTATTTATTTTTGTTACAGGTACTCCTTTTTGGTGTTTACTCGACATCGTCCCCATCAAAAATGAAAAAAGAGAAGTGGTCCTATATTTGGCATCACACAAAGATATTACCAACACAAAAATGGCAGAGATGTCCGAGTGTGAGCTATACGATAGTGGTAAGTTAAATTACTTTATTTGGACATTTCACGATTATCACCTTTTAGTAATAGATCATCAATTGAATATCAGTATTTGAATTTAAAAGTATATACCACTACTAACCAAATTCAAACTTTATGTTCGTGTATGTTGGTGCAACAAAAATTTTATCTCAAATTAATTATCAAATTACTTGAGAGCAAAGAACAAAATGCATAATTTTTGTTTACTCCTACATCTGAGTTACGTTTACTTATATTTTTTCACCATTAAAAATAATACACAGAAAACATTTTCAATGGTTGTTCCCCATTTGAGAATCAGATCCTGCTTGGGTGAAAACTAATTTCAAATCGAAAGCCTTTCTCATCGCGGACTGTCATAGTTTCGTAGTTACTTATGCTCTGCTTCCCATTTCACCCATTTTTTATAAAAGCCTTTTTTCTCAATTTCATCATAAATCTTAAAATGCTTCGTGATCCGTGCGGCGGGTGGCTCCGAAATGCGAGAAGTTTTCAAGGGACTAGGGACTATAGCAATTAAAAAGTTTCGAAAGAATTTTAATAAAAGCCAAGGCCGTATCTTGCACGGTATCCATTGTAAAGATTGAATCCAAATTTCTACCAAAAAAGATTTGTCAAGAAAAAATCTTTTGTATGTTTCGTATTCCACTTTCACCGACTGCTCTTCCGCTCTCTATCGAACATTTCCATGACAACCTTGCGTAAGCAGTCGTGAACAATGAAGAAGGATAATTCATGAAATTTTTTTATAGAAAAAAAAGAAGCAAAATTTAAAATCAATAAAAACATAACGGCTTTATGCATCAATCCTACAGTACAAAAATAACATGTTTCCGTCGTACACAGAACATAATCAAATAAACTAGTTCGATAAACAAACAGAATCAGCACGTTTCAGATGTTTGTTCATAAATTATCCTTGAAAACATTTTTGTACACATTTTCATCTATTTTTATGAAATGGTATTATGCCAGGAAAGAGAGGTTGAACCTCGCTAACTCGACACAAGTTCTATTTTATTTATTTTTTCTGGTAGAACAAGGGCTGCTCATTATGGGTCTAACTTTTTCCAACAAAATTTTTCCCCCCTTCCATTCCCCTAAAGGTTGTTTCTTGTAGTTTTTTCGAAACGTAGCGCTTACGGCACGTTTTACAAAGAAATACCTTTATAGTAAATTAAAGAGGACAAAATGCTCTACTTTATCCAGCGATAGCACACGTGCATCGCCTACCCTTTGGCCAGGCTGGCGCTCTTAAGTTGAATAACCTTGAAAAAAGATCTTTAGGATATTTTTTTTTACTAAACAGTAGAACAAATCCACCACAAACCATGCAGCACATACTCATAAATAATTGGCCGATTTTTTGGTATATGTTTTATTTAAAAACAGTTACCTACCCGTTTAAAATATTCAGGATGTTGAAATTTAAACAACCCCCTTCCATATCATCTGAAGGGCTAATGATAGGCTGTTCAAATTTTCAGGGATTATTGATTATTGAATGATGTTCAATAATTCGTATAATGCACCCCCATTTTCTACCTGGAACCTCCCCAAAAAAAAAAGGCCATTATTACCACAAAAAACGACCTCTAGGGGGATGAACGGGGATGTTCCAGGGAGACATTTTGTCGGAAAAAGTTAGACCCATAATAAGCAGCACTTGTTCTACAAGAAAAAAATAAAACAGAACTTGTGTCGAGTTTGCGAGGTTCAACCTCTTGTAGTATAACATACCCGGGTTCGTTCAGTAAGATTGAACGATGAGAATTTTTATTACCTTTTAAACAACAACTCTTCTGAAAAATGAAATGAAAAACAAATAGGGCCTACGTTGTGGAAACTTACTCAATTTTATTTACTGGACATGCGCCCGACATAGCGAATATTTGGGAAATTTAAGGGAAGTTGTGATATGTGAGAAACGAAAAATTGGTGAAACGTCAACTTTATTACTAAAGTAAATCATAACGTTCTCATCCTGGAACTAACGAGGGGAAAGAGCACAGCAGAGAAACCCTCGATCTAACATTCCTCAAAAATCGAAACATACTGTGTCATTTTTATAATAATTGTGAGTCATTAATTCAATAATTTTAAGTCAATAAAAGTTTAAATTAGATACCATCACCATCCTTTGTTTTTGTGTTAAAATTTCAATTACACACACTACATTCAATCAGCACTACTTATATTCAATACTGAAGAGTTTTTTTCTTATTTAACCAGTTTTCCAGCAAGTACTGAGGTCCCATACGGGAAGCTACTCAGCTATAGTTGTTTTTGAGCCAATATCTCTAGATTGATTATTTCAATTTGTTAGGATATTCTCTCGTCAGGGTAGGAAAATGTTAGTAAATTCAACAAGGCCCTAATACACGCTCTAAATCCAAAAATAGAAATCCTAGCACAAAGAGACAGCACATAATTTTTCTAGTTTTTTTAATTTACCCGTTATCGATGTTGTTTACAGCATGAAACGATTTTTGTTAAATACATGAACAATGCACATGTTATAAAAAATGTTATAAACGAACAAAAAATACATAAAAATGAACAAGATAATAGGTACTCTTGCATAAATTGTACTCTCAAAAACAAAATAACATTTAATCAACTAACCTGTGAACGATCCTTACACAAACTAATCACCAAACACAAACTTGATTTTACTACCAATTTTAATTAAAAAATAAAAAGAAATTGGAAGACCTACAATGGCGGATCTAAGCTCTTACCTGGTTTCTCTTCTTGTCTTCTACCCTCTTCGGTACCCACGCTCCCTCGTGGCGGCGCGGCGTTCTTGTTTTTCTAAAACCTAAACTTGAGGGCGCATTACATGGTTGCAACATTTACTTTTATTCAGTAAACGCTTTTTTAAAAAGTTGAGATTTGAAGAAATAATATTTTAAGTAGGTGGTTTTCCTCACTATTTTTTGGACTGAATGATTAATTTACTTTATTTTTTGAAAGTGTTCAAAAGCTGAAAATAAATTCATCGTTGTCTGAAACCGTTGAAATCCCCCAAAAAATTGCAATAGCCACGAAATATCTGAATGACATAATAACCTTTAAAGGCCTAATCCGTCAACTCAACGTGACTTGATTTCAATTAATAATGAATTTACCCATATAGACATACACTATTAATTTCCAATTAATTTATAAATTACGTACTTATTTGACCAAGCACCTAAGATTAAAATATTCCCACCAAATGTTGTGCCTAATCACATTTCGGCAAACTCATTTCGCGCTTCCCCCATTTGTGTACCTTGGAATAAACCATTATTAAGTCGCAAAACCAAAATGAGAAGATTTTGCAATTATAATCTTAAAGACCTTCATCAAATACGACATTATATTAAAATACTTCAAGTGCCCTAATATTTGAATTTAAATGAGAGAGAAGGATTACGAGAATCCAAGAATAATAGTAACTTAGTCGTTAAGAGAAACCTTTAATGTTTCCAGCTACAAGATGCTAATTTGAGTTTTCTGGAAACTAATTTTGCAAACCTTTATTGCTAAAGTAAAGGGAAGGTTCCCAAATACATTATGCACCTAGTTATTAAAGTCGTAAAAACTGTCTGGGGAAAGTAATTTTTATGTGAAAACTACTGGGATAAAACTATTGGCTAGGGAACCCTTAAATGGCAAAAAATCGCCTTAGAGTCCGAGATGAGTTTTTATAGTTCTTTACTATAGATATTTATTGCCCAATGGATATCTACCTATAGAGTTTCCCAAAAAAAAATTGTGGATAAATTTGATTTGAATTGTGCCTTGTGTTATCGTCATTCGCTTTTTCTTATGGTCACTTAAGATTTTTCTTTGATTGTTTTATGATTTTCTTTGGAGAAGAGTGGGCGATGTTGTTTGATACCGTCACTGATGAGGTTTCTGTTAATCGTACACCTAGACTTAGTGCAAATCCCTTAGAGATTTTTACTGAAAATAAGTGTTTGAATGCACCCATGGGTGGCGCCATATTTTACTTATAGTTTGTGTCCTATTTTGAACTGCGGTTGTCATGCGAACTTGGTTCACACGACAGTTCCAAATTTCGCTGTGAATACTACATAAGGTGCAAGAACATCAAACCACGTCTTTGGGTAGGATATAAATAAATTACCAGTTGCACCAGCATTTTATTTTGCAGTCCTGTAACACTTTCGTTCTTGAAGCAAATAAATACTTTCCACTATAAGAAAATCTACATATTGTACTAACATTAAAGACCATTTTGAAAATTTTTGGTTAAGGACAAAATCACACTGCCTTATAGTTTTCCATTACTCTTTGCTATCCGCAGCTGCCGTACTTGGAGCACGGTTTCGGGGCTCGGCTGACTCTTGCCTCCTCGCAGAACCGGTCAACGGCGACCTGGACGATCCGGAGGCCCCACCTGCTAACTACGGACGACGCAGATCCAGAGCCGTACTCTATCAGCTGAGCGGACACTACAAACCGGACAAGATGAAGACAAAACTGAAGCTCAATAATGTAAGTGATTAACCGATATACCTAGGTAAATAAATCGTGTTTATTTGTCTGAAGTTTCACAAAACACAATATAATCTAATAATATGTATAATGTATTGTCTCAACGACAGCCCGAACTATCTTATAGTCCTGTAGCTATCTGGTAAAATAAACAACACAATTATCTTTTCTTTTCAAATTAATCATTATGAAATTGTGATTAATCCATTATGCACTCATCATTTCAAGAGGCCAATGAATGACACATCTTGACCTAATATTAGCTTTTGTCAAGGGTGTCTCAACAAGAACTTGAATTTTGAATCGCGCGCCATTTCTGTCTGTCAAGCGTCAAGTCGGCCATATTAGGTCGCCCCACTCGTGCGCTAAGTTCAAAGTCTCAGGTGCCCGACGAAGGAATAGTTTCAAAGCATTGTACAAGCCACGTATTCACTGAATACAGGCAATGGAGAGTGTGACGCGCATACGTACAATTCTAATGCCACGGGAGTGGAGCAAGAGAAAGCGACGTATACACTCAATACGAAGCGATAGAAGTTTCACTTCTACCAAGTGTACGGCGCTGCAAATGATTTTTTTATAATTAATAAACGTTCCTCAAGAGTGTAACGCGGCATTTTAGTAAATGACAATGTTTTCATCGAACACATACCCAATATGGCCGACTTGACGCTTGACAGACAAAAATGGCGCGCGATTTGAAATTCAAGTTCTTGTTAAGTCATCCTTTACAAAGGTTAATATTAAATAAAGATAATATTTCTTGTTGAAACACCCTTTAGCTGTTCTCGTCCAAATGATACAATGATAGTTATACAGTTTTTCAGTTTTGGGGCACTTTATTTAAATTTTTTTAGTATTCCAAGCGAGCTCATTACACATTCAGTTTTAGTTTATTGCCTTCCATGTCATAAACAGGGTTGCCAACTCTCCGGTTTTGACCCGGAGTCTCCGGATTTTCAAGGTAATTCTCCGGTCTCCGGATTACATGTATATTTCTCCGGGTAGAACCAAAATACGATAATAAAACATGTTTCCTGAAAAATTCATGCGAACTGAATGACATGCCGGCATGGTATTGTCGTGATAACATATTTTAACTTTAACCTCAAATTGTGCAATATAAATTCTTTCGCGAATTAACCAAATACTGGCAAATACAGAGAGACAACGTGAAAGAAGGTCTGTTTTGATAGAAGATCTGTTTTCACCGAAATCACAAACCAGTCAGAGCGAATTTCATTGGTTGAAAATAGTCAGAAAACTGGTTGCTGGCGATTTGCATCAATCAAAAACGCTCTGACTGGTCTCTGATTTCTGTGAGAACAGACCTAGAAACACAGCTCATGGGATCTGTTTTCATTGTAATGTCGAAATGATTGGGTGAATTGCGTCACATGGCAAAAAATAAGAAAATTTCATTGGCTATTAGAACTGTTAAACATTTTTCTTCGACATTGTAGGTATAGATGTATAGATTTAAATAAGTGTACTATGTTGTAACTGGAATGAAATGTTTTATTTTTAGTTCTTGTTTTTTTTTATGTTTGTTTTGCTGCTTCAATTAACATATTTTTGGGAAACGCCATTTTTATTTCAGTCGCGGAAAAATCTCCAGGTGAACCAATTTCAGAAGTTGGCAACCCTGATCATAAATTATACCTTCAAACTTTCGAATTCCGGAAGAAACATTAAAAGTAGTCGTTTTTTATCCACTCTGGACTTGTTGTCCAGTTTTTTTTTTTAAAATAATTTGGAGCAGAAAAGGGTATATACGCTATATAAACTAAGGCTCTTGCCTTTCACGAACAAGGAGCCAAATAAATCAACTCCAAAGTGTCTTCACTCAAATCTTGCACGTACGAAAACAATTTTTTCCAACCAGTTTCACGACCTGATTATTTTCAATTCTAATCATCCTAAAATTCCAGATAAAGTCACAAATAATAATTATACTTCGTAACAAAATCTGAATACTCGTTCCGCTGGGCACATTCAACATTCATGAAAGGGGATTCGATGGCCGCGCTTTCAATATAACTTTTAGAAATGCAATGTGAAATTTTATCGAATTTAAGTCCGCAGAATAAGCCGCCTTTTAATGAGGGTGACATTCAAAAATTCTACTCTATTCACTGGAATTATTTTTCCTAGTAAAGAGTGTAGATTGGACCGACACTCTCAAAATCTGTTCCGGGAATAATTTTCGTTCGTTAGGCTTGGCGTTGGTTAATCTCGATTTTTCGAATTCGATTTCGATTCTGAAATTCGTCGGTCAATTTGACCTGCCAGGTAATAAATAATGGGATTATGTTATTTTGTGCAATGGAACTTTGGAGAGTTGTTATTTAAATAGGCTGTTATGGAAATTCTCCATCAGGATCGATTTCTTCTTATGTTGTTTTTCGATTTTTCGTCTTAGATTTTCTCTTGGATTGATTGAGTGCGTAGCAATTGGAAATAGTTCCTGTATCGGTCCTCCATCATCATCATCATCATCATCATAGGCGATCACTCGATACCGAGTATTATTTTCTTTTTCCACAGTCTTGGCATACCCAGCCTCTGGCAGCATTGTCTCTTCCTCTGTTCTCTCGCTCCTTCCTGCGGTCCCTCCTTTCGGTCTCGTGTCTGCGTCGCTGTTATTCAAAAGTTTGTGGTCCGTCGTGGACTATTCGACGCCATGAGGGTCTTTCATTCGCCGTCGTCCTCTCAGTTGCTGATATTGATGCGGCACTTTGCTATATTCTCCTTAAGAACATCTTTGTAGTGTTATTGCGTGGGTTGTTGCAGAATCTGCGTCATGTCAAACTTGAACTCTAGGCCTGGTTGAATGCATTGATATTTGCCTGAAGATCTTCCTCTGTATTGGCCATTACGACGTTATCATCCACATATTGAAGTTCAATATTATCGATGGCGCCGATACTTTTGTCTTACTCGTAATCTGTTTAGATTGAACAAGCCACCTTTAAGTCTGTACAGGATTTTCACTCCTGACGGTAGGTAACCATCGACGAGATGAAGTATGGATCCTAGAAATAGAGAAAATAAAGTGGGTGCAATAACACAACCCTGTTTAACGCCTTAAGTTATTTGGAAAAACTCTCATAGTTGCTTAGGACGGTTGCAATCATATTATCACGCATGTTTTCGTTTCCAATTTTAATACTCTCGAAGTGTCCTCTTAACTGGCAGTGGCCTGTGAGGAATCCAGTGAGAATGCGAAGATTGTTTCTACTCAGTGATATAAGGTTTTTTGATCTCCCTTGGTGAGGGAGCCCAAGAAACATTTTTGATTGCCTTAACCCTGGAAGCTGTTCCCAGAGGCTGATCCATTTGGTCCGCTCTTCCTTTCTGAACGCTTTCCTATAGGTGTGCGTCCCTATGCCACAGAAAGGCTCTGGTCCTGAAAGCGGAGTTTGTGCTCCCAATTTCGACAATTGGTCCGCCTTCTCATTACCTGCGATTCCTGCGTGTCCCGGTATCCACTGGAAGGATAGTTTGATATTTTTGCCCAGTTTGTTTAACTTGTCCAGGCATTCCCAAACCATTCTGAAGCTGATTGTGTGTGAGCTCAACGGTTTGATGGCTGCTTGACTGTCTGAGAATATGACAATCACTTTCTTTTCGTAGTTTCTGTCAAGATTGAACTCAGCACATCTACTTATGGCGTTTATTTCCGCCAAAAATATGTTTGGGTGTTTTCCCATTGCTTCGGAGAACTTGATTTCAGGCCCAAGTACTCCGTCTCCGGTCCCTTGTTCAGTTCTTCACCCATCAGTGTACCATTTTACGGCTTTCTGCTGCATTGTGAGAATGGTTGCAGTGTTTTCTTCCCATTCTTCCCTGCTTCTTATGACTGCTGTGAAGCGTTTCTCAAAATTATATGTTTTGATCATATCATCCCTGGGGAGCTCGAGGAGTGGAATAACCTTGCTCAGAGATGCTAATTCTCCCCTTCCAAGCCAACCTCCCTCGCTAGCCCCCTCTCTCGTGATTCTAGTCATTGCTCTTCTAGTGGCCCCCTCTACCACGATGTGAAGAGGTGCGTGACCTCCAATTGTCTCGATGGCTGCTGTAGGAAAGGTTCTCATTGCGCTCGTGTTGCATGTGCACGCGAGGCCTTGCAATTTGTTGAGAGCTGTCTTCATATTCTGTTTTTCAACTTCTTTGCACCAGACTATCGATCCATATAGTAGGGTTGGTCTTACGATCATGGTGTACATCGATCTCAATATTCCTGGTTTGCATCCCCAGGTTTTGTCTGCAAGGGTTCGGCACACCATTAGAGCCCTGAGTTTGCAGTCTAGCTTTATGCCGAGATATGTGACTTCCGTCACCGGTGTAATAACTGTCCCCCATATTTGAGGTATATATCCCATCGTCATAGGTAACTCTAAGTTTGACAGGTATGGTCTGAGTAATCCATATTTTACTTATTAGGATATTGGGCACTTAGAGTGAGGCCTCTTTTCAACGAGAATTACTGTCTTTAAGCAGTCTTGTGCAATCTTTGAATCTCCCATATTCCATTGATGGATCGGTATTCGAATGCTGTTAGGAGTTGGGGCTATGTCAGGAATTTAAATACAATATGAATAAAGATAATTTTCTATCGAAATAATGAAGACATAAAAGTCTTTGTATTCGCAATACCTATACCAATATAAACTTTGTGTAATAACGAAAATTTACTATAGACTTACCTTGTTTTTCTTTATCCCATCTTAATTAATTGAAAAAAAGTCACAGTAAATAATAATCTTTGAAGTTTCTCCAGCATCCCCGCTAAGTTCGTTAAATGGAAAATTCTGAGAATCCTGTACAATGAGGTATTTTTTATCCAAAACATCAAAAACAAAGATAAAAAATTAAAAATACTGAATGGGTAGGTACCTATCCATATTCTGTTAAAATTATGAAAGCTAACTAATTAGAAATCTTTTATACTCTATACTATATAAAAATCAGTAAAACGCAAATGAAGTACATTCATT